ATAAATCCCCCTAAATATACAAATTCCTCAAAGTTGTTGTCATAATATTCATCATTATGTTTTTGAACTTCCCTCAATTTTATTAATCTGCACAATGAATTTTCTTACCATGCACTAAAAAAAATATACAAGAACTTATAAATAAATTGCAACCAAAATTTTTTATATTTAAAAATAGCTAATCTTAACTTTAATACAATACTAAAAGTCTATTATTTGGCCGGTGTGCTAAATTTCTGGCTTTGAAGGAATCTTGGCTAAACAAATATCATTTATAACTGCAAAGTTCTAGTTTGTGTGCCTTACATATTGAATAAAATGAATTTCTCTATCTGCACAATAAATATATACATCAGTAATTATTATTTTAATGAACAAACCATAAGGCGAATTATACTATTTGATGCATATATTTCTCCTAGTTTAATACCATCAAATAGCTCACACAGCTTCTTTAAAATTTTCTTTGCTTTTTTTGAATAATATTTAATAATCGTGTTAAAATTATCATTCAGAGCTCGAATATTTTTTTTGTAATCATTTTCACCATTAACTTCTGGAAGCTTCACTTCTCTCAGTATAGGATAAATATATCCATAATTTTTCTCTCCCCTTTCATTTATTTTCTTATCAATTCTGTAAGATATGATGATATTAACTTTTTTATGATACTTTTTTTTTGATATAATGACCCCTTTTTCATACTTTTCAGGTTCTTTCAAATCCTTTATAATAACAGTAGTAGAGCCATTTCTAGAATATTGATGATAAGTTTTTTTGATTTTGATTATTGATAATAATGGTATCCTTTTTTTATTTGTTGTTTTTGAAATATTACTCAATTGTCTGTTTTCAAGAGAAAACTAATCAAAATTTTGATTATCAGATATTTCTCTATAATTAATTGAAGGTTTGAAAAAATGGCTTTTACATTTATATAAACAGTAAGTTGAATGCTTAGGCCTATATTATTTGATATTGTGTAAAATTATTTTCAAAAAGAGTACTAGTAAATGCATTATTGTTAAATATTTACCCATGTAATGTGACATAGCTTAGTAACACTCCAAGAAGTTTGTTTAAAGGTGATATAATAAACAAGTGAATATAATCTTTCTAATCAAAGTTTTCATCATTTTTTCACACAATTATTCTAAATTCAGATCAAGGTTTAACTACTTTAGTAGGTTTAGATCATAAATAAATCAGTCTGAGCTTCTATTCTTGCATGTAATTTATATTTATTTGTTTGTATACAAATTAAGTTTTTATATGGGGACCCGATTCATTAACTCTTCCCGACGATCACTTGTACCAAAATTTGCTAAAACAAAACTTAAGTTTTCTCAAAA